TGATGAAGATAATGAGGCAGTCTTGGGACGCTGCCTAAGATGCAGAGACACAAGCATCTCTGGGCTCTAACTCATGAGTCCCGTCCTCTACCATCCATGGATATTCTAGCAATGCAAAGAATTCTGGTCAGACTGCAAGCGCTGAGTGGTGCTGCTGGTGTCGACGAGTGGATTCTATATGACGATCCCGGGACACGAATGACATGGCCTAGGCTTTCATTCATTTAGAAGCTCCATTTCTGAATATTACAGCTAATTTTCCCCCTTCAGATCCTGCACATTCCGAATATACAGGTATATCATAAATGATTGATTCTCTACTGCTCAACCACATCAAAAACAGGGATGGTATTTTGCAGCTTTCAGACAGCGGGCTGGAGCTCGTAGGTGGTTTGGCTCCTATATTCATTTCTCTCTGACGAACGCATCTTCTCTCTTTGATTACCTACAGAATGCGCGAGTTAACGTCGCACTCGTGAAAGCATAGCTAACCACCATCACAATATAAACCAATACCGTCTTCTGCTTGATATCCCGGCGAAACAGCGGATAGTATTGTGGTGTATCAGCTGTATACGCATTTCCATTAAGAAAGTATCAGAGGAACACTTCTCCAACCGGATGTCAACATCAAGAAGGAGGAGGAGGTACTCCAGAGAAAGAAAGATAAAGTCACGGCCTTAGAGGCCTTCATTCCAGCTGATGAGGCAGATGACAAGCTGAAGGTAGAAGAATAGGGATTTTTCTTCGCCTTTCTTCTTTTATTTTCCTTTGTTTTTTCAACTTTAAAAAAATCAATGGCAAATTTTATCGCCCTATATATCCAGCATAGCAAGGATTATACTGTCTTCAATCCGTCGTCTTTCCCCATAGTCCAATGTCACTTTGATTTCTGATATTTGCGAGATTGACGGAGTTGCCTAAGTTATTCCAGCGCAGATCGCCGGGCTTTTTCAGGAAAAGGGAATTCAAGGCATTAACCGCATTGTTCGGAGAATATGGTCACTCCAGGCTATTCGGTTATTGCAGGTCTGGAGCAATGGAATCTCACACACCACAGAATGTTACACATCTACGGCGAGTAGAATAGTAGGAGGTTCTGATATAGGTAAAAATATCATATGGTTCTCTATAGGGTCTATATCCTAAGTTGTGTCCGCTTTGGGGGTTCGCGATGTAATGGAATTGGAACACTTGTATGTGGTGAGCGATTTATGAATTACTGGGGTTTCAATACCAATCCAGCTCTATAGTCAATACCTTTTGGAATAGTATTATTTCTGATTTGTATATATTTTTGTCGTTTGGTAAGAATAGGGTTTCTTATACATTTTTGATATTTTGAAGATGCTGATGGTCGATGTGATACAGCACGTATACCATAATCATCTGGTTCTCAATGATACCACACGATGATAAGCTCCCTGTCTCCGTAGGATATGATTCGTCTGAAGCAAAAGCCGGAACTACAGTAGATAGACCTAGGCAGTAAGAAATTCGAGACATGGATAAGCTTTCGTGATAGGGATGAACGCCACCGATGTCGCGTCACGTCCACAGCCTGGTTTCACGAATAGATAACGGTTCCACAGCATGGTCTCTTGCTTCTAGACCTTTACAGGGCTGTTCGGTCACGAACTTTCATGACGACATAATCGGGTTGCTATTCTGTCCAGATGTCAAATCTCGGTCTGCGCTATATACTGACCATTAGCAGTATTTGCTCACCAGCTGGACGATGGTACCTGCAGGGGTGTGTTGCTTTCTGGGCCTAGAAGGTTGTATTTTCCCTCGGTAAGATGTCTTAGCCATGGAACGGACGAGACCCTTCAATATTTCGGATAATGGGTTACGTTCTCGTTTACCTTTCGATCGCAATAACAGGGCTCCCATCATGATAGGGTAACGGTCTGATCCCGATCGTTAAATCAGCCGATCAGTTTTGATAGAACGGGCCTATAGGATGTTAGCTGGCAGAGTACCCGAACGTTTATCTGTGAGCGATGTTGTCATGTGTAAGGAGTGAATATGTGTGTTCCGGTAGCAGCACGTCATGCATTCAGCGTGTGAGAGCAGTGCCCTAGGTGCTACAGTACATGGACTTATCGTTCCTATAGAGTATAGCTCAGCCAAGAGCTAGTAGAGATACCGTCATATCCGAAGGGTCAGATACGAGTTATGAGGCGCTGGGCAGATCAAAAACATTTGTTCAGGAAGTCGCCGGATGAAGTGCAGACTCTCGTTTCTCAGATCAAGAGAACCGCGATTACATGGGAATCTCATCGTTTAGTGTCTATGGATGAGTGCATATCAGGTAAGAATTCGGCAGAGGACGTGAGAGTCATGCCGAATTAACGTGGCAACGAGCTCAGGCCATAGCGACAGCAAGGGGCAGTGCTGACGATCAGGTTGATACGTCACGGACACAAAGTGCCACAGACCGAGTAGATCGATTAGACCTCAGCCCATAGTCGTGAAAGTGTTTGCTGGGATGTTGTTGACCTCGGCCTTCAAAGATGGTTGATACTGTGTAACCATCCTTCTTTTCTTTGTTCACCCTTTCAATGCACCAGTAACCACTGAGTTGGTATCATTTGTTAGGTTGGACAGACAAAGTACGAAAGATAACTAGTCAAGTAGCAAAGAGATTATCTAAGTGGCAGTGAAGGTCGAGACCGTCATGCCAAAGTGTTTAGAATGTAGATCCCGGGCAGACAGCCGGCCAATTGCAAAAGCATCTGCCGATGCATGGGGTGGCTGCCACGGAGAGGGACGAGCTATTTTCCAGAGGGGAGAAATGCAAGTCCCTTAGTGCCAGGTATGACCCGATCAAATTGCCGTAGGGCCAGGAATGACTAGCTAACTAGTAGTCTAGTCAGTGGTGGCAGATAAGATGATGATTGCTCGTATCGAACCATATCGGACAAGGAAGAAAGCAAAGAGAGAGGGAGAGGGTGGGCAAACTAAGACAGTTAGCGCTACTGCTCCTGCTGTTCCTGCGATTCCTGCGATCGCATAACTCGGGTAAATAGGGAAATTTACTACACGAATGGGACTCGGTTCGGGCCACGTGCCGCTCAGGACCGCCGCCCGTTGGGTCGCAACTTACAACACTGGAGGGAAATTCTCCGTCCACCAGAAACAGAAGGCACGATCATCAGTGAATTGGCGCGAAAACTATTATCCCTCATCCAGCATCCGGTGTACCCTCCTTCGTCTTTTACCGACCTCCGATGCTCTAAACCCCTTGGGCCTCTACTTTGCATCGTCTAGTATCTGCACCGTCAAGCTTTTGCTGCATTGGGATCTCATGTCCGTCCAGGCATTCATCCATCAGTGGGACCAGCGGCAACTTCCGCCTCGGAGATATTCACGATGAGTTGCTTTATTTCTGCTTTGCGCTCAATTCTCTCCTGATTTTCTCGTTCATCCTCATTTCAATTACCCCTCTTCTGCCTGCGTTTGCAGATGCTAGAAAGGACACCCGACGTACTCCGTAGCAGCGCTGAGAAACAGTGGACGAGGAGCGGGAAATAAATTCCCACTGGCCGTGGACTGACAACGCAGTGAGTCCGTGCCCGTCCCTGGTTCAGCCCATGGATGTCATCCATTGGTTCATTGGTCGAAACCAACGGTCGGGAATCAGGGCCCTTGACTGGCTTGTGGCTGTTATCCGACCGGCCAATGACCACGTAAGGCCTCAGGATCTGGAAGAACATTGAGGCATTTCCGCGCTACGCTGTACCAATTGTTTCCTCAGAATGTCCTGATACTGTTTACGAATCTGTCTCACTAACTTGCCACGACAATCAACGCCCCCAAGGTAGTCGTTGATTGTCTTGTCACCTGTGATTCGCCAACCTTGTGCTAAATAACGGGGCAGCGGTTCGTATGACGGAGCTAAACGCCTTAGACCAGAGTACTTTCGGCAAGCCGAAGGGAAATTTCAAGACCTACGGACCACGGCATTCCGTACCTAATCTTAGCTTCCGTATCAGCCTAGAGATGGTGAAACATGGCTGGCTGCACGTTGGCGGCCGCTTGCAGCATCAATCTTGGAAATCTATCACTCTGATGCCGTTATCAAACACCATTGGTCTTGTTTTCGGGGTCTGCGTGCTCCCACTAATGAGCCTGTGATCGAGCTGCGTCACCGTTGGAGAAGCTTTGGTGCGATTAGCCATCACCAGAGTTATTCGATGGATCCAGCCAGCAGGGATCATCATGGAGGCTGCCCACAAAAGGCTGGGTGGTGGGAAGGGGGTTAGAACAGTCCAGCACAACCTGCAATGGCGGGCTTCGACGCCGTACTTTGAATTTTTGACAGTCGAGCCCCAAATCTGAGAGTGGGCCCAGCTCCCTATCTTGGCCCACATTATTGACTTTGCTGGCCTGGATGATGTGATCACAGGTTAGTTCTGCACATCATATCCATCTGAAAATTTGTTCTGGAACCCTGACTCACCGACTCTATCCCACTCGGATGTCCACTTCAACCCTGAAGTGTCGATACGGTTGAGTCGTCCGTCAGTTGCTCATGGGGAGTGACAACGATACAGTGGGTCACCCATTCTTTTTGGCTATCCATGATCGCCCTCGCGATAGGACGCGTGCACCTAGGTCTCGAGCGCTCTTCGTGAAATCATGGTTTGCGTCAAGAGACCTTAGCGGTGTGCCTAGGCTACTGGGGGAGTTGCGGCCCGAAAGTTCCCTTCCCTTTGGAGGGCGTCACCATTACGGCAAGAAAACTTGGTAAATTCTCCGCTACGACCGCCGTGATTAGCTACGGGTAACAATGTCCTTGTCAATCCACCCAGAGTATTCCTTTTCCCCCCGACATCGACGTTTGCGGTTGGCAGGACTCGTAATCGTGGTGATGCCGCTAAGAGCCGGGTCGCGGTAGTGGCGAGTATCGGAGTTATGCGACTCTCTCCGATCACATGTTGGGTGTCCCCCCGGAAGTACCCGACGGCGGTGTGTGTCCCGAAGGATAAGCGGGTGGCTTATGAACAAAGTAATCTTAGTGTGAAGGGTCACTGAGAACTTAAGGTCAGGTACCAATGGAGATCTTATTGCTGCTAGTATTGCTAATTCTAGAAGCCCTATAGACGCGGTTTCACATGGTATCATCCAGCTCGCTTGGAAGTTCTCTCGTGTCAGCCAGCAAACCCTCGTTGTCAACCCCGGTCGGTGCATCCTTACTCCTACTACATGTGGCTATTATCGTCGGCTCGCCGACGGCTATGTCCGAGAGCCATGCGTGTTCTGCAGTTGATGCTATGCACCGCAGCACTCCGCATGGGGTACGTACATCAGTTTTGCGCTCTTCAGGTCTGAGGACGACAAAGCTTTGTAGATCATCGTCAGCGGTAGCTACACCGAACAGGGAGTAAAATCAGTCATGGGTAGGGGCCTTGTTTTCTGCAGAGAGCAGCGCTGCAGAGCACCTTCTACAAGTAGGAAGGTTTCCGCAAAGAGATATGAAGCGTCGTCGCTTTGCGTGTCTCGCGTCCACGTCAGGTTAATGAATGTAACGCTAAGATTCGGATCCAATATGGGGCCCTATGATTTGGCAGGTTCCCTCTGCATGGATTATTACGCGATTGCGATTTCCATATCAAGGGTTTCATATCTCTCCCACCCCCTGTCCTAGATGACCGAAGGAGTTTGTATATCCCATTGGTGGTATCGCCCGGTAGCGCGGGCTAACCTGACTGTCCAGGATAGCCGTGGTGGAGTTGCGGTCGGAAGCCAATGGTCCTGCCGGAGGAGATTAGAATGGATGCGTCTCTCCACTTTCAGGCATTGGCTTGCGAAGCTCGACTTAAATCTTGGGCTGGAGCTGGCGTTGAAGATGCATGCACTATGTAGGATTCTAGACTACTATAGGTACCGTGCCATGTTGCGTTATTGCCAGGAAAGGCTTGTACGCAAGAGGGGCGCACTGCTTCTTTTTGCGATCTTCTACGCCTCTTACCGTGTTTCTTATCAGTGTCGGGCCGCAAATGGCTTGATACTGGAAATGTCATGCCACCCACCGTAGGGCAAATTTCTGCAGAAAGTACGGAGTGGTGGTGTGTGTCCACAATGGAAGGGAGGGATGGGGTTGGAATGTTGGGGGGGAGCCATGTTACAACAACATATGACACCCCAAACAGAGCAGAGGGAGAGTGTGAGGGAGAGGGTGCAGGGTTCAGAGTAGCATGATAAGCAGATCATCTGGTGGGGCACCCAAGAGTGACGAATACTAGGGTGAATTGGTCACGATCTCTTGCATAACTCCTGCAGCTGGAATTGCAAGCTGTTGTGCGACAACCCTGCAGGATGGACGCGCAGTCTTGAAAGGCATCAGGGGAGGAGGGGGAGGGGTAATGGGACGTCTGAGCCCTCTCGGGACCATTCATCACGGTTGTTGTTGCTCAATCCTAGTCTCTTCTGGGCACAGCTGAAGAAGGGCTGAAGGAAGGGATGATATCCTAGGATGTGCGCACAGGTTTTAGCAGGACCGGCTGTTCCTGCGGAATCTCTAACCCGATTTGCCCCCCAAAAGAAGACTAGATCGAGAATCATGCGGGAAGGATGATCCCGAGGCATGCACACACACTATTGCATTGCGCAGGCCAACTGAAGTGCTTTTGCCAGAAAGAGGCGGAGGAGGAGGAGGAGGAGGGGGTGGTGAAATAAAATAATCATAAATAAAAAAGGATAATAAATTAATGTTACTTCGATGATCGTCATTTGGTGACTATCATTACTGCCCGTGTTCTCATCCCATCTGAATTTAATGTCATTTGCCTTGTGATAGCCACCGGGTAACCGGACTGCCGCCAAGGCCTAGGGCCGATCTTACGAGCAATGCTTCCGTGTAGATAAAACCGGACGATCCCAGACGATGATGGGCCCTTTTGGCTGGGTCTTGGATAAAAGTCTTGGTATATCTTCTCAAGACAAAGTCATTAATTATCTCTACTCCGTACTCTATTCTACTTCACTCTGTCTGTCATTGCAGGCATAGCCAGCAGCCCACTTTTGTGTGACCAAGTCCCACGAGGAGAAAACCGAAACAGAAGTAATCAAATCACACACTTATCGTGTGATTATTACGGGTCACGATAACGAGTGGGATTACTACTATTGAACCAAATCAAATCAATTATCTAGCGGGAAAAAAGCACACCGTGACAGTTCACCCCTCCAGCCTTGTTTCCCTTACGAAAGGGAACTCCCGTGGACATCTTGGTTCCTGCGCCCGCGGCCTTTTCTCCGGTATGTTGGTGATGTAACGTACTCTTCAGGCTGAACATTTGCTTTCGCCTCTCTCTCTCCATTGCTCTTGCTTTCTCTTGTTCACCGTTTGTCCATTCTCGATCCCCATCATACCGGCTCACCTTCTTTATTTTACTCCGTTGTTACTACCCTTGGAGCCCTTCTTAAAAATATCATCCCACCCACCCCCACATACACTACTTTTTCAAACATTCAGTCTGGTCGGAAGCCCAGCTGCCATCCATCCACATTCCCCTTCGGCCTACTTCCCGCTTCTTAAATTCTCACTGTCTCCGCTGCCGATGCCGATACTACCCTTTCACAACCTTTTTTAAAACTTCTGCCATACTAACTCGTCGTTTTTCTTTTATTTTCCCAAAGCGCTGTCACGTCGTCGAGTCATCGTTCTATCTTTAGAGCATCAGGTTATTCATCAGCCTGGCTTAGTCAACGCCGCTGGTAATCGCATCATCTTCGGGAGGACTTAATCCAAAGTTTTTCCCTACCCAAGGACCGCCTTGCCACTCCCGGGGCCAAAAAGGTCTCTCCGAAAAGACCCAAAGACGCAAGTGACGGAAACGGCTGCTTTTGAAGTCTCCACTTCACCAACTTCCTTGCTCATTGTGGGACCCGTTGTCGACCCGGTCTTGTCTGCAAATCTGGACAGTCCTAAGCAGATCAGTGGCAGGCTTTATTCCCTTTTCGCGCCATAGTCCCGTCGCAATTGTCGTGGTTCCTTGGACACCTTCTTTTTAAAATTTTCTTTTTCCATTTTTTCCAATTTTTTTTACGTTTTCTCCTTTTTTAGTTTGATTAAATACATCAACCTCCCGCCCACCCACTCCTCCCCCTTCACACTCCAACCATATTGAACGCCCTTATATCTTCTTGGCTCCCCCCATTCTACTAGCAGCTGCACACAGGCAGCTGTTGGTTTGACACAATAACGTCATGGCTTTGAGTTTCTTTGGTGGCGGAGGCAGCTCCAGTCACGCGAAATACTTTGATATCCGGTGAGTCACGCCATTCTCGCACTTGCTCCGGCACCCCGGCCTCCTTACCCGAGTGCAACGGCTAACCACCCTGTTGTCGCATAACAGTCTTGATGAAGATTATATTGTATTTCGCGGAGGCGAGGAAGAAGCCGCCAGTGCCCATTTGAGCGGAAAGCTCATTCTTTGTCTGTCCGAGCCCTTGTCCATTAAGCACATCAGACTCCACCTTACGGGTATATCTCGAGTTTGGTAAGTGCTGTCGCTAATCCCCCGATGCGACAAGAATTAAAACTAATCGAGCTTGGTTAGTTGGCATTTGCCGTCGAGTACTGCCGGGGGGGGTAGAAAGTCATGGAGAGAACGTGTTTTCTACGAGAAGACCTGGAGATTCAGAGATGCGGGCAAAAGCAAAACGGAGGTCCTGCCAGCGGGCAACTACGAGTACCCCATCAACCTTGTTCTCGAGGGATCTATGCCGGAGAGCGTTGAAGGCCTTAACGACACCTACGTGACCTATCGCTTCAAGGCGGAAATTGGACGCAAATATGCCAAGGATATTATCGTTCGCCGGCCGCTCCGTATCATTCGCACTCTTGAGCCTAGTGCTCTTGAGCTTGCGCACGCAATGGTGGGTTCCTACATATACTCCAAGCTAGTGGAGGAGGTTCTGTACTAACACTGATGGTAGTCCGTGGAAAACGTTTGGCCAAACAAGATTGAATACTCGATCAGCACACCAACGAAGGCTGTGGTTTTCGGAACTAGCATCCGCGTGGACTTCAAACTGATCCCTCTCCTTAAGGGACTTAGAATTGGACAGATCGTTTCGCAGCTCATCGAAAGCCACGACCTTACCCTGAACCCCGAAGACCCCGATTCCGTCCGCAACACATACAAGAGTACGAGAACCATCCTGAACGATGAGCATGAGCTGGATGAGGACAGCGGTCTGGAAATCATCGATGAAATGGCAGAGGGATATCAGTTTTCACGTCATCTGGATCTGCCCAAGACTTTGACTCGGTGCCTGCAGGACACTGACACCAGGGGCATCAAAATCCGTCACAAGCTCAAGTTCCGCGTTCAGCTCCTGAATCCTGATGGACACGTCAGCGAGGTATGCAAACCCATGGCCTAAAATTGGTACTGGAGTTTATTCTGACCTTGTTGCAGCTTCGCGCGACCCTCCCCGTCTCGATCTTCATCTCGCCTAGCTTAGCCATCGATGAAAACAACAACCTTATCGACCAGACCCCTCAGTCCGCTCAAAGAGCGGTCGATAATCTCGCCCAGCAGGCTCCTCCCTTGTACGGCGAGCATCAATTCGATCAACTGTACAGCGAACTTGATCCTTCTGGATACCGGACTCCAGGCCCTGGAAGTGGCCCTGGCACTCCGTTCGGCACCCTTAGCCGTAACCTGTCGGCTGAGAACCTTGCTTCGATGAATGCATTGACCAACACCGACATCTCCGCTTCTGCCTTGCACACCCGTCTATCGATTCTGCGCGCCAACGGGAATGATCAGCCCTCCCCTACCGACCAGGAGCATCCGGAAAACGACAGCCGTCGCCTGGGCGTTCCTCCCGATTACTTCGGAGCGGGATCCGGTTCCAACTCGCACAGCCCCGCCAGTCCTGAGCTCTCCCGCCGTCCTTCTGACGAGGTTGATCACGACTACATCCATTCCGGAATGGCAACTCCTTACCACCCTCAATATGCCGAAGTCGAGACCCTGAGCCGTGTCCCAAGCTACTCCACCGCCGTCCGCACTACTGTTCGCCCTTGCGACTCGGAACTGCCTGATTATCAAGCTGTCATCGCCGAGGATGTTGTCATCTCCGCGCCCCAGTCGCCTCAGCAGGCTCATGTCCGCACCGCCGGCCGCGGGTCTTCATATTTCTCCGCTATCGATGCGCTCCACAGCCGGTCTGGTCTCCTCCACTCCACCTCCAGTCACGACGATGATGAACGTCGACTGCGTCTTGTGCAAGCTCGAGCCAGGGTCTAATTGGGTTGCAGATTTCATTAAGAATTAATATTTGATCAAGTCTCTTCTGAGGGATCAGGTGTCGACAAGAGTTGGAGTTTATTTCTGCTATGTCGGGGCACTCGGTGGTCAGGTGAAGGCGTGACTGGCTCCGCCAGACCGACTTACCGGGTAGAGCACCACCTCAGCACATATTCATCGGTCCTCGGATGCTGGCTGTCCGGGGATTTTGCGTTTCCGAACTCGGCCTATCCCATAAAGCATGAACAGCGTGTACTGCCGTTTCCCAGTTACAGTGTGTTTCTGAACCAAACACGGAAGATGTCGTTGTGCCTCTGGATGCTAGTCGCATACATACTTAGACTCGTTGGGTGGGGATTGATTTTACTGGCGTTCACAACTAATAGACGGGATGGGTTGACTGGGAGGACAGGGAGTCCGGGATTTCTTTCTTCATTTTCTACCCTGATCATCATCGATGATGAGATGACAGGCGCTTTACGAGCAGATATTTCATGACCCGGTGTCGGCACGAATTATGCACATGTTACCCCAAAAAAGACCTCTCTCAAGTGAGGGGCAATTACACTTTACCTGTTAAATAATACTTTCATACTCTCATAGCATTAGCGTTGCGACCGCAATAGATCTAAATTCCATCATTACAACCAGACTTTCTTTATTTATTTAGTGTAAAAAGCAGTACCGGGGATGCAGTGAAACGTGAAAGCCAAGAAAACCTTGATTGTGAAGCGTGAATGAATGAGATTGTTTGGTTGAGCTCCCCGTTCTGACGTAGCCACAAAAGAACCAGAGGGGGGAAGAATGGCCATTGAGTGTTCGGTTGAGTTAGTTCCCCCTGGAAAAGTGTGGCTGAGTCGGGATCCGCTTGCGGAGGTGGCATTTCCGAAGTGGGCATGGCCTGATCATCAAGCAGACAATCGATGGATGCTACACGGGCCAGCACATCATCACCATCATCATCGTCTGCGATCAATCGACCGGAAAGGATAGTGAACCTCCCCCGTGGAACAACTTTTCACGGTGATCCCTTGCCGGAATCGGAGGGAACATCTGAGGAACGAACCAAATCGGGGGTCATCCTGATTTGCGCCATTGAGGGGTAAAACTCCTTTGGGCGGTGACTTCATCGGTCGATCCTTTGCCTTTCAGTAACAACTCTTTCTACCTTTTTGATCTCATTTATTGCTTTTGGCGCTTAGAGATTTATTCTCATTTATCGACGTCAATCACATACTTCTATTCCCCTCCTCCTCCTTCTCACCCTTTCAGATCCCGACTTTCACTTCTGTCCGAATCATACTTATATACCGCCTCTTTCCTACCTTCTCCTCCTCGCCGGCACCTGCTTGTCCTCGCCCCACTTCCTCCGCTTCAACAAAGGCCAACAAGCCCCTAATCCGTCTGCCGATTCGACCGTCTTAACTAGTCGGAGATCGCGCTTCCGGTGTCCTCCACCTGAACCGCTCCGACTGCAGTTTTTATTCCTCGTGGGCGTGCCGTTCGACCGTCTTTTTCCCTCCTTGAACAGCTGTGTCCCTGAGAGGTTGCACGCCGCATCCTTTTTTTTTCCTTCCCCGCAGCAGCAACCATGTCGACTCCTGTCAGTCCCGTGGAGCATAAGCTCCCTCAGCGTTCGGGGACCGTCACTAGCGCCATGACTGGTGTCAGTCGTCGGACTTCCATGAGTGATGACGAGGCCATTCCCGGCTCTGATAGCAATGAGGTAGGCGATGGGAATACATTCTACAGAATTCTGTGATAGATAGCTAATGAATTCGCGACTGCTTAGACCACGAACCTCCTCCTCGAGCGTCTCCGTGCTTGGAAGCACATGTGTGGATATTTGGAAGAGTATGTGTCTGCGACGGCCAAGGTGTCCAAGTCGCAGTCCAAGGACTTCGAGAAGGTTTTGAAGGTGCGCTTGGCTACACTGGGCTCTATTTGAAGGGTTGGACATGCCTGTTATACTGATACAATGGGTTCCTTGCGTGCAGACTGTGAACGAACCTCTGCGGGAAAGCCACCATTTCTCCCAGAGCGCCGGCGGCGTTTCTTCTTGGTTTGAGAACATCCGCGCCAACACTCAGGTAATTATCCAATTACACAAGAGATGAGGACATCAGCTCACAGCTGGCTCTAGGGCATGGTGAACCTGTACCTTGACACTGAGAGGAACCTCAAGGGCTCCGTGCTCCCGACCTTGGAGCGCCTTCACAAGGAAATCAAGGCCAAGTCGAAGGAATTGCACAACGGCGCTGCAAAGGGCGCTAAGGCTGTCGACAAGGCTCGCGGTGTCACTCAGAAGCACATTGAGCTCCTCGCTCAGCACACGGCTACACTTGACGCCGCGTCCCATAACAAGATTGACACGGCCCATGACCCTTACATTCTCCGTCGAGGTGTCACCCACCGCCTGAACAAGCAGGTTATCGAGGAGAACAACAACCGCCAGGACCTCATCGCTGTGCAGAACAACTTCCAGCAGTTCGAGGCCCATGTCCTGCAGACCGTCCAGGGCGCTATGGAGCAGTTCGTCGTCTACATGGGCGGCCAGCTCGACCGTCACCGCGCCATGTACACGGACATTCTGTCCTCCGCGCAAAAGGTTCCTCCAGACTTCGAATGGGTCAACTTCATGACCAGAAACGACCACATCCTCGTCAACCCCGACGCCCCGCCGCGCTCCCTCTCCAACATCACCTTCCCCAACCAGGAGCACCGCGCCACCAAGCCCCTGATCGAGGGCACTCTGGAGCGCAAGTCCCGCGCCATGCTCAAGGGCTACAGCAGCGGCTTCTACGTCGTGACCCCCGCCCGCTACCTCCACGAGTTCAAGGACAACGACGATCTCCGCCGCGACCCCGCCCCCGAACTCTCCCTCTACCTGCCCGATTGCATCATCGGCGCCATCGACGGCTCCAAGTTCAGCGTCAAGGGCAAGGACGTCTCCAGCGGCAAGGTCGGAAACGCCTTCCACACCAACACCGAGCTGAGCTTCAAGGCCGCCAACTCCAACGAGGCCGAGAAATGGTGGACCGTCATCAAGGACGCCACTCGCGCCCCGACGTTCGCTTCTAGCACCACCACCTCGCCCACTAGCCCTGTTGCGGCCGAGAGCTCCCAGCCCCCCGCCTACGTCGAGAAGGAGTCTGCTGCTGCTCCGCAGGAAACAGCCACCGCTGCGTCTCCGACCACTCCGGCTGCTGTCTCTCGTACTAACACTAGCGGCTCTGGCACTCTCCCTACTGCGTCTGGCGCCGCCGCACCGGCAGCTGCACCTGCTACCACTGCTACGGAGGATAAGGCGTGATAATTATCTATATTTTTTTCTGGTATATATGCAACTAACCACTTACTTACTTAACTACCCGTATAATATTCCCTTTGCTGCATGCAATTGAACTTTATCCTTTGGCTTCCTCTTCTTTGTTACCTTCTTGCGTATGTAATTGGTCTTATGTATAGCACTTGGTATTTATCTTTCCATGTCTATAGGATGACTTTCATGTGGAGATTCTAATCTTTGAAATTATGCCTGCTAGCTTGAGTGTACGTAAGTCGTTGGCTTCTGCGATGCAGGGCGGCCGAGAAGTAGTCGCTGTTGGTTCTAAGCTTGCGCTTCGGTGTTTATACCCTTTTCATTACGTATCTTCGTTGGTACTCATGTTTCTGATATCCAGTGTAATACAGAATGAACAAGCCAATGTTTTTACTCATCGATTCATCCCAGTGGATGTATTTCTGGATGTGTACATCGTCTTCAAAGATACATGATTTATTTCAATATACTGCAAGAGAATAGAAAAAAAGATAAGATAGATAGAGAAAGAGATGTATCGCATCGGTGTAATAGAAACGCTCAAGGGGGTAAAAAACGTCCGGGAGAATCGTGGGAGCTCGTATCGGATAGATACAGTTCGAAGGAAATAAGTTAAATGCAGTTAATACAGACGAAGGTACGGGAAAGTAAGGTATTGAGGGTGAGAAGTGAAGTGTGCAGGCTCAGAAATCTTCAGGACTTTCAAGATCTGCCAGTTTCTGTCCCAGGAATCTCCCTAGCGCTGCAGATTTGGACTCCAGTGCGAGCAGAATAGATGGTGACGCGGAGAGGTTCAAGGTCGCTAGACGGGCTAGATCACTGCTCCGGTCGATTTCGTACTGGCTTTCGAGTTGCGCGTCTGAGCTAGGGCCATGGCGGCCTCCGTTGGCTGCTACAACGCTGGCATAAGTCCTCCCATCATTGGCAGCGTCGTCGCCTCCGGGATGTGAGGATCCGTTCAAAACATTCTGTGTACCGTTGGGTGTTGCTGCGTCTTCGGCATCTCCCAGTTTCGATGGCCCGACTGCGGCAAGAAGGACCTTGTCTGCGATTCTTGTCACGACCGCTACTAGATCGTCAAGTTCGAAGACGATGGACCCGACGTCGCCTAGTGATACAGATGGGGTGGTCACGTATGATGACGGATGGCTGGCAGGGTTCACGCCGGTGAGATTCCCACATGATGCATTTTTCGCGTAGCATGTGTACGCCGCACCGTATGTTGCGCTCAAGTTGCGCAGCTGCCTGGAAGGGAGGGAAGATGCGTATGCGAAAATAGCGCCATTGGTAGCGAATACCCTGTAAAGCATGGTTCATTAGCATCTCGGTCGCCGAGGGAGCAGGAATGTCCATACATCATAGAAGTGATTTCCGGAGGTGACAGGTTATCCTCTAGGAGGTCGCTGAGCGCCTCCGCATCCAGCATTTTTATGTCCGGAAGACCGGGTATCATGTTGCCTTCGTTGTGCTGCTCGTAGCAGTCTCCAAGCGCGATGTCTTGCTCAAGTGTTTTGTTTTCAATAACCCAGCCCTTTGGCGGAGACCAAGAACAGTCTTCGGGAAAGAAGAAGCAGTTGTCCCAGTAGTCACGGTCGTTGTAATCGTATTCGACCGGGTCTTCGGAGTATCCAAGGAGGTCTTGCGCGTACTGAACGGGGCTTCGTGCCCAATAAGGACGGTATGGGGGTTCGGGATGGACTTTGGGGTTTTGACCAGGGATGCCTGACCGAACTGGATGGTCATAATCAGCCATATTGTCTCGGTGAGAATGTATTATGGGATATTTAAGGTAGTAAATAACGATGGGAGGTTGAGGGCAAAGAAATAGGCTTGATAAGGGGTTTTGTGGAAAGGTAGAAAGCAGAGTGAAGTGTCCGAGATAAGACGAAACGGTGGTAGTACAAAGGACGAACGTGAATCATTTTAAGGAGCCTCTTCTGCCACTTTGGCTTAGAGACACAACTAATCAAGTTGAATCTCCTGCCCAAGGCTGATGCCGAAGTCCGGATCTCATGTTCAAATGAGGCGTGGTATGATTCATATGACGTTCCAGAACGCAGGAAGCTAGGCGTGGGGGATGTTTCACGGAGGAATGTCACAGCCGGGGGGCAATGACCATGACAGCAATGGAACGAGGCAAGGACACGAAAATAGCATAAAGTGGGAGGGAAAGGAGGAAAGGAAGAGGAAAAAGAAACAAAAGGCGGCAGTCAATGGCCAACAAGGCCGATGTCTGGGGCGAAAGCGAAGATCGCTTGGGCGGAGGATGACGATCCCTGGGGATTCAAGCCAGAGGGACACAAAAGGATACGGGAGAGAAAAAAGAAAACACAAACCTTATAGAGGGCGAGAGCGGCCTGCGCTAGGGGATTGAAGACACGAGGAGGTTGCAAAGTGAACGACTAGGATCAGCCAAGGCGAGGGAAAGAGGGAGTTGGAGATGCTTTGTCGGAGTAAGTCGAAAGGTGGGCGGCAGAAAAGAAGTATGGGGTATCCCGCTTCTCACCGCCTTGCCCAACTGTCCGTGATAGTAACGGAGTATTAAAGACCGAACCATGTATACTCACACTACTAGTATTAAGGTCTCGCTTGTCTCGGAAGGTAATTATTACCCAAAGCATGAAGTACCCTTAATAGGAACTTTAATGCGGTTCAGTGTGCAATTGGTAATTGGCAATTGTTCATTTAGTGTGTCATACTATGCCCGCCGCACTAGTATATATCCTTCCCCTCTTTTGGTTCGGATCTTTCATTACCACCGCGGTTGAGTCTGCTCACACCACTGTAGACCTTTCGAGTATATAATAGATCCGGAGATGTGCAGGGTATTCTAGAAGCCAATTTTAGACATTGACACATGCGAAAATTTAAAGAAATGCGATTATTAATGCAAGCTTTCGGCGGGCCTGTTTGGATAGCGTCATAGGCAGGTGGAACCCCCACCTTTTTTTCGGGTCTCCTCACACGCCGCTCACTAATCCAAACAAGCCATCTTTCTTTCTGCTTCCTTTTCCCCCTCCTCCCTTCATGTTTTCGCTTCCCGCTTTTCGCTCATCTTTCCTCAGGGTCCTCGTCCCAAGATTCTCCATCGTCCCTGGTACGTGCCTCCATCATATCCAGAGGATAGCTTTCCCCACTCGGATCGATTCCAGAAGCTTACCACAGGAGATGTAGGAACCAATCGATCCCTCGCAACCATGGCGACAGACACTTCCAAGTATAAGCTTAACCGTTAGTGGCTTCTTTTGCCCTGATCATCAGTCTGGTCTGGAGCTAACAATGTGCCTGTACGACAGACACCATGCTTCGGGTCAAGGACCCGAAGAAGTCTTGTATGTTCGCCTTTCATAGTAGGCTTCAGAGGTGCCTCATATACTCATCTGTCGCTATCGCTTAGTGGAATTCTACCAGTACCTGGGTCTCAACAAGGTTAACCAGATCGACTTCCCCGAGAACAAGTTCTCCCTCTACTTCCTTGCCTACGATGGCCCTCAATCTCTCCAGGGTGACCGTCACTTCACCGACCGCAACGGCGTCTTGGAGCTCACCCACAACCATGGCACGGAGAATGACCCCAACTACAGCGTGGTCAACGGTAACACTGAGCCCTACCGCGGTTTTGGACACATTGCTGTCTCCGTGGACAACATCGAGGCTGCCTGCAAGCGACTGGAAGATGCCGGATACTCCTTCCAAAAGAAGCTTACCGAGGGCCGTATGCGTCACATCGCGTTTGTCAAGGATCCCGATGGATACTGGGTCGAGATTATCCGCCGTCACAACGAGGATGTTGGCACCGCCACCGATCCCTCCACCTACCGCCTGAACCACACCATGCTCCGTGTCAAGTGCGCCGAGACAAGCGTCAAGTACTACCAGGAAGTCTTTGGGATGACTTTGCTGCGCACCATTGAGAACAAGGATGCTGGATTCAACCTTTACTTCCTGGGCTACCCCGGTGCCAACCCGGAGAAGCGGGAGGGTGCCACCAACCCGGTCTCTGAGTGGGAGGGTCTGCTGGAGCTCACCTGGAACTATGGCACTGAGAAGCAAGAGGGACCGGTTTATCACAACGGTAACACGGAACCGCAAGGATTTGGACACATCTGTAAGTCGTTCTCTATGATGAGCCCGCCGAAAGGGTTAGCTTTCCGCAGAGGACAGAGGAGTCGCTAACAGCCGACGGTTACAGGTGTCTCCGTCGATGATCTCAACGCTGCCTGTGATCGGTTCGAGTCTCTGAACGTTAACTGGAAGAAGCGCCTTACGGATGGACGGATGAAGTACGTGGCATTCATCCTGGATCCCGATAACTATTGGGTAGAGGTTGTCCAGAACGAGGCGCTTAAGCGTACTGGTAACTTGTAGTAGAGGGATTGTGTATCTAGCCAGCCTGCCGCTCATATACTGAGAATATTAGCACCGTTGTATTGCCGGGAAAAGGCGCGATTCGCGCTGAATGTACTTGTAGAGATAAAGAAAGCGTCGAGTAGCGCGGGGTTTCTTTCCCTTGAGGGATGCTTGGGGTTACCGAGAGGCTGATTGGCCCACTGAGTGGGGGGATATCCCCCGCTTCCCAGGGAGGCCCGCCTATCAGAGGATCGCCAACACTTCCCCAGAGCATCGTCGCCGACCGGGCTAAGACCCTCCCCCCCAGCACAAGAACTCCAGACCATTATTATTGACGGTGTGCGCCATCTCTGTCTGTCCTCATGACCTTCTTCCTCCCTGAATTGCATCTTAGACCATGCATGCTGTCCGACTGCCCTCAGTCGATGTTGGGTGACCGGATGCTTTCTTCTTCTCACCCTCCTCGTTGAACTTATCTCCTTCACCCTCCCCCCACACCCCGGGGTATTCTCGCGCTGCTGTCGCACCAACTCAACAAATCTTGAAATCACCATGCAGCCGCAGTCTGAGAAGCCCAAGCGGGCGCCTCGGAAGCATGTCACCACCGCTTGTGTTCCTTGTCGGGAGAGCAAGATCAGGGTATGTGAACTCTTCGCTTGGATCCTATCATCAGACTGGGTATAATGTTCCCCGGATGCTGACGCAATTTCGCCCAGTGTGACGGTGCCACTCCGAACTGCCACAATTGCGAGAAGAAGGGAAAGGATTGCAAATACCAACACGGTGATGATAAGCGGAAGTAGGTTTAGCTCGCTCACTGTTTCTCTGTTTTCTCCGTCGGCCTCGTTGAATTTGCCTCTCGTGTCCTGGGTATCGACCGTCTTACGATCAAATCTGGATGGAATATCGAATTTTCAGCGAACAGCGCAGGATCAAACTGGTCATTTTGTTTATCCGCGCAGCCAAACAAGGCTGACCGTACCCTTGCCAGAGTGTCTCTCCGCGCCGCGACGGAGTTATTTTCCGCAAGAATAGACCAACTATGCCAGTTCATCTACGATCATGGGTTGGAACCGCCCCCAATGAAACCTGAAGATGAGGCGGGCATGAACAGGGTTCTGGATACCCTGCAGATCCCTCGGGGGCTAGCGAAAAGGAGGGATTCGGTGGCGTCTAGTGGGAACAATGGGCAGCTCCAACCCGTTACTCAATCCCCGGCCCACACACCATCTCCTCTTCCTTCTTTGAGTCGTCAACTAGGTGGCACCGAGGATGTACCCAAGGTCTCCTCTCCATCGCACAGTGTAATTCCTAACCAGGGCCTCATACCACCGGTTGAGAGAAGTCAAGTGTCAATGAACCCTTTGGCGATGAACCCGGGGTTGTCCGCAAATTATCCTTCGACACACTGGGGGTTCACTCTTCCGACGGCAGAGAGCTTAGATGCTCTATACGCCAACATAGACGGCGCTTCTAATCGTTCCAACGAGAATAGCACTAGTCCTGATAGCCTCCAGTTCACACCAGACATCACTCAACAACCGGGCGTGTTACTGAGCCAAGCGTGGGACCGAGACAATGAGTCTGATAGTGGTGAAGAAGACGAAGCGGAAAAAGATGTCATTGAGCAGATTTCGCATCGCATAGGGACTCTGAAGATCGCCGGTGATGGTCACCTCAGATTTTATGGAGCTACTTCAAATCTCAACCTTGTGGACGTGTCTGCGACACAACAACGCCAACGCCCAGATGCACGGACCGTCCGTCATGATGGACAAGATATATTGAACCATCTGCGAGTGGGACAGCCTGTTGACCAGGCCCTCGAGGACCACCTTGTCGAACTCTACTTTACCTGGCAAAACCCCAGCACCTACGTGGTCGATAAGGATATGTATATGGATGCGAGGATGAAATGGAGGAACGATTTGATTGACACACCCTTTTATTCGGAGGTCCTGACGAATGCCATGTTAGTACCCGCTCCTCTATCATTTGTGACCTGTTCTGACAACTTCCAGGTGCGCCATTGGCAGTGCATTCGAAGCCCGGTATCATCCGACATTCATCACGTTTCCAAAATCGCTTTCGGAGTTCTTTGCAGACAGGGCCAAGGCTCTTCTGGAGATTGAGTTGGATTCCCCTTGCGTTGCGACTGTCCAGGCTCTTGTTATCCTCAGTTCACACGAGGGATCCTCTAATCGCGATGCCAGAGGTTGGCTCTATAGCGGTAAGCTGACCATATCGGGAACTGCAAGTTTGTTACTGACTGTGTCTAGGGATGTCAATGCGACTTGCATTTGATCTCGGACTGCATTTGGATACGACACCTTACGTTGAAAAGGGCGACATAAGCGTTCATGAGGCCGATGTACGTAGGATTGCATTCTGGGGCAGCTACAC